TCTTCCGAGTATGAGCTGCTGCTTGGATTCTCACCAGGCAGATCCCTCGATGTCTTGCTCTGCTTGTGCACTCGCCAGTGCTGCTTGCACACTTCCTATTGCTGCTGCTTTGTGGTCCAGGCACAGGTCCAGGCAGAGCGGGGACCTGAGGAGCACGGGGAACCTGTAGCTCAGGCCCTAGGCTGGATCTTGGTACACTACCACACCTTTCTTTTGCTTATGCGCGAGGAGGCTGAGCTGGCTACATGGCACAGCCCTTTATTCCAGAGACTGTCACCCCAGAGCAGCAGTGTCTTGTTTTCTAAAAAGGCAAAACTCTATAGAGCCTGTAATGAGGGACAGACTGGTGCGGGCCAGCTGGGAGACCCTTCCAGAGAGGGGTCTTGCAGGGGCTGCTGTAAGTAGGATGCATTGAGCAGACATTCAGGGTCTCTCTGACCATATTTCAACCTGTTTCTTTTTCTTCCAGGCTTGCAGAAATGGAAAGCCAGAACTGTTCCTTCTTCAATGACAGCCTGTCCCCTGATGATAGCCTGTGAGTTCTGCCTCCTTTCCCTCCTCCTCACCTCCTGCTGAGTGGTCCTGTGGCTCCATCCCTGCCTAGCCAGGGCACAGAAATGCTTTCCTTCCTGGCTCCTTTGAGTCTGAGGCTCTTGGGCACCCCCAAGCTACCCAGGGATGCTGAGCCACTTCTGAGCTCTAGACCTGGAGCAGCCAGAATGAGTTCCCATACAAAACCACCTCCCTCTGGGCTGTACTTCCCCAAGGGCACACAAATCCCTTGAGATTGATGTTCCTCACTAAGGTGTTTCTCCACCTGCTGCAACAGGGATGAGGACCAATACCTGCTGCGTCATTCCAGCCCCATCACTGACAGAGAGCCTGGGGGCAGCCAGCAGGTTCCAGGAAGCCTCCACATGGATGACAAAGGAGAGCTGGAGCGAATCCTGGCCCACTTAGAGGATGAAAACAGGTAGGGGCGTGGGCAACTCTGCAAGTGGAGTTTATAGCCTAAGGGGAAGGGGCTGGAGAAGCCTGGCAGAGCTCAGAGTGGAGCCAGGGGATAGCTGCTGGAGCTGGAGGTAGAGACCAGAGGAGCTGAGTGGGCTGGTTTGGAGGGTGCCTAGGCTGAGCACTAAAACCTTCATGGGAGGACTCAATGTGCTCTCAAAGAAGAAGGGAAAAGACTCTGTTCCTGAAAATCTTCCTGGACCCATCCTCAGAACCTGTTTCCCTCCTGAACCCCAAACTGGTTGAAGTGAGCCCTGGGCACTGCTGTCTTTCTTATCCCTGAGCCCCTCACAAACAGTGGTGGTGCTGCTCTGGACCACACGAAGTGAGGGTCTGGGCAGGGCAGCTTGGCTCAGGAGCAGGAGGTGATGCTTTCCCTGTTCTTGTTCTCAGTCTCTTAGGAAGAGTTGCATGTCTTTTTGTAAACTGCCCAAGTGGGGTAGAGCTGCAGGCAGGCCACACTGCAGTCCAAGGACAAAGTCCTCAAGCTCCACATGTGGCAAAGCCTCCAGCGATTTTTTTCTCTCTGAGTCATGGACCATTCCCAGTGCACAGCTGTCTGCTCTTTCCAGCAGTCTCTAGAAAGGAAAGCAGTGATACTGACCTATGCTATCTTGCAGGATCCTCCAGGGAGAGCTGAGACGTTTGAAATGGCAGCATGATGAGGCGGTGGAGTCTCCAACCTTGGCTACAGGCTCCCCCGAATCAGTACAAGACCCACATAATGATGAGCTCCTGGCAGAAGCACGAATTCTCCGGCAGCACAAGAGCCGCCTAGAGACCCGCATGCAGATCCTGGAGGACCACAACAAGCAGCTGGAGTCCCAGCTGCACCGACTGAGGGAGCTGCTGCTGCAGGTACTCTCAGAGCAAGGATCCAGGGCAGCCCATCCTTCATGTGGGCTTTGCCATAACAGAGCTGGGGCAGTGGCAGAAAGGGATGGTCAGAAGCAGGGGGAAGACAAGGACAGAGGATCTTGACAACTGCCCTTCTCTCTTCAGCCTCCAGCAGAGTCAGATGGCAATGCTTCAGCAGCCTCTTCCTTGGCTTCATCTCCACATCAGTCTGAAGGCAGTCAGGCAAAGGAGAAAGAGCACAACACCCCTGACACCGAAGCTGCAGGTGAGGATTGGGGTTGGGCTTGAACTCTCAGCCCCACTCCCTTGGTTCAGTGCTGCAGGAAGCTGCCTGCACCCCGCCATCCTGCAGAGATGCTGGCTGGCAAGGTGGATGCCCAGAGAGCCTGCTCACTCCCTTGCCCTCTTTCCCGCTGCAGATGAGGTGGAAGCCAAAACACAGGAAGTCAGCGTGTGCCTGGAAGACATCATGGAGAAGCTGCGGAGCGCCTTCCCCAGCTCTCGAGGTACTCGAGTGAAGTCCCCCTCTCTGGTCTCTTACTGCTCCCTCAGATGAGGTTTTCCCTATGGAGCCCTGCCCCGATCCCAGCTTCCCTGCGATGGCTGATCCCCACAGTGCCTACAGCCAAGAGCTATGCTGCTGTGGTGCTGCTGGGACTGGTGCATGGCCTGGGCGCAGAGAGGATGAGGAGAAGGTTTCACACCTGCAAGAAGAAGCAGTCAGAGCTTCCAGGAGCACAGACCAACAAGATCCCCCCAAGATGAGCTGCAAGGCAGCCTCCTGCCCTGCTTGGGACCCTGTACCCCACAGGGCTCCCCACTGTGAAGATGGACAGACCTGCCAGCATCAAGTTTGCAGTGATCACCTTGAGCCACCTCCTCACTTTATCCCTGTCCAGCCCCTCTCCAGGAGAGGTTGAGGCCCCAGTGACCTGGCGAGATGGAAGCAATGGCACAAGCTCTCCTAGCTGCTCATGGATGGCTCCTTCCCAGCAGGGACGGGGACTGGGGGATGCGTGTGTGTGCCTAACTTGCCCAGTTGGGTTAGGTGTTGGTCTTTCTGCTGTCCCTCTAAGCTCCAGCCCAGGTGCAGCACTCGGTCCCTTGCCCAGGCTGCCCATGTGCGTGCTTGGGGGAGACATTGCTTGGTGCCAGCACTAACACAAGGCAGGGGGAGCTTCCCTCTCTGCCCACGCAGACCTTCACCCATTTTCTGCCATCCCTGAGCAGGATCCTCCTGGCTCTGCAGCAGCCCAGTTCTAACCAGGTGGCTCCAGGTCCTATTTTCCTGACCTCTCCATTTCTCTTTCAGGTATGACCTCTCTTATCTAACACTTCCTGTGAGCCAGAGGCTTTTTCTAATCAGATACCTGGCTGCTTTCCTCCCCTCCTCTCTCTGCCATGCTCCCTGTGCTGCAGCAGACCTGGCACAGACTCCCTCTGAGCTGGTCGTGCAGGATGCTTGCCAGCTCCAGAAGATCTCGGGGGAACATAGGTCATGCAGGAACAGGACTGTGGGCTCCCCAGGAGGCTGGCTCAGTCACTCGGCCACAGTGTCCAAGCCTGGGTGGAAAGGTGCAGAAGGAAAAACTGAAGCCGTGAAAGCTACCTGTCTCCTCTGGCGCTTGTGGGCTGCTGCCTTTGACCACAGCCCTCGGGGGATGCAGAGCTCAGCATCCCATTCCTCTTCAGGGGCCTCAAGGTCACCAAAACACTCCTGGAGCCACCCAGTTTTTTAAAGAACTCTTTCTAACAGCATCCAGCTGCCAGCCTTATGGATTGAACTCTCTCTGCTACCCAGGGCTCTGCAGCCAGCCAGGCACATAACGTCTGGTGGGGAGAGTCTGTGAGGTTTATGGGGTAGGGTTGAGTCCATGTTAGAGCTTCAGCCCAGCTAGTAGCCTTATCTTGAGAGGGTCTTTATAACAGAGCCTTATAATTTAATTTGCATATATTTCTATATGTTATATATATATATATTCTGTACTTAAATACTCTCATGGACTCATTCCATTAAATTCTAATACTGTAAGTGTAGCTGCCCTTCACTTTCAGTTTAGCCCAACATCTGCTCCCACGGGCACCAGCACCTTCCCTGTTGCTGATGCTACCTTGGAGCAGGGCTGCAAGGGGAGCCCAGTGGGGGGCTGGACTGGTGGCAGCAGGTACTCTGTCCTACCTGGTTTCCTGGAGAGCTGTACCTTTGCTGTGGCACAGAGAGCCTGTCCTGCTCCATCCCTGGGGAGCCCTGGCTCCTGCAGTTGCCCATCCCCACTGACCTCTGGAAAGGGGGTCTCTCCAGTCCTGGGGCCACCAGGACATTGGGCTGTGATGCAGGAGTGTAGTGGTGCGGGCAGGCATCGGGACAGGCAGGGGTACCTCCTTGCTGCCCCCAAGGAGCAGCTGTCCTGCTGCTGTCCCACAATTTGAGTTGGGCTGAGGGGCTGGAGGCACTCACTGGAAGTGCCAGTCCCGCCAGGCAGTGGAGGCAGCTGTTCTGTAAGCTGGCAGGGTAGCTCAGGGGTGGTGGATCCTGCTCCCAAAGGCTCCCTCAGGCTGGCTGTTTCATGCTGTGTTACGTTGAGAAAGAGGTAGAGTCAGGGGCTGTGGGGGGGCCCAGG